TCACATGACTTGTCTGGGAGGGGACAGCCGGCTCCTGACTGGAAACACACCCCCACCGCCTTTGCCTAAACCCTCATAAAGTTCCCACAGCAGTAGTGAAAGGTGAGGAGTTGAACTCCGGGCTCTGGGTAGACACAAAGGACCTCTCCTAGGCTGCCGTTAGCAGGAGGTGAGCAAGGAGTGCGCAGCCGGAGTTCAAGGGTGTAGCAGCTTGAAAAGATATACTAGAAACTTTGAGGAAATAATTAAAAGGCAGTGTCATGTGTCTGTTTAAGGTACGATTGTAAGCTTTTCTAGGATCTGTGGTTGCCTTCAGATCTGTGCAGTGCTTGGCACAATAGGACAACCACCAAAGACAACGTCTAGTCCTGCATCTGTCCACATAGTATGGCTGATTGATAGGCAGCTTTTGGGGTGACCAGGTAAGTTGTCCTTATGTTTTCCTTTCTCTGCTGTCGTGGGTAGTTGTAGCCTTTTTTCTCTCGGGTGCAGTTGTTTTCCACTATCTCTGCACTATAGAGGTTGATTCCAGGGAAGTAAGGTCTCCAGCAGAAGACTGAAGCAGGAGAGGAAAAGGAGTACCAAGAAGCCGTGGCAGGCAGCCGGTCCACCACAGCAGCCCTGCCCTGTTGCTCAGCCGCAGCTGCCTGGCTGGTGTCGGGAGGAGGGTGCAGCGCTGGGTGCCAGACAGGGAGAAGCGAGCGCTCGTGCAGCCTCAGCTTGGGACTGTCTGGGCAACAGAAATGTAAGGGGACAGCAGAGATGGGACATAAATAATAACATAAATGATAAAACAAATGTAAAAAATATGGCAGTTCTTTGCTTTTCAGATTATGTTGAGCATTTTAAAACATGACTTAGACAAACTAGCTTTGTCTCATACGTGAAGTGGAAAATTCAGTGAAAACAGATCTGTGACAATGAACAGTTGTTGGACAAATGGAGTACATTAATAATAAAAAAATATGTTAGAATTCTCTATTGACCAGTGTATGTTTCCCCTTTAACTTCAAGAGACTGATAGGAAAAAGAATTACTTCAGGGTTGAGAATTTGGTTTGGATCAAATTTTTGTTAACTAATTTGAAATAACTGAAAATGAACTTTTTCTTTTAAACAGCACCAGTTCTAGCTAATATTTGGAAATGGCTGCAGGCAGCTGAGATCTTCACTGGTTGATTCAGGGCTGTATAATGCCAGCATGAGATCAGCTCCAAGCAGTTGAATGGCTTTTTTGTTTGCCAAAACAGCCATGGTTACACGAATGCTTTTTTAATGTATTTGGTGTATTCTGAGTCAGAAGAGACATGATTCAAGAAAAAAAAAGAGTAGGTAATGAGATATGGGGGAAAATGTAATCCATCAAAATTTATCTTGTTTTAATGTACAGAATGTAAAACTTTATACTGTAAATGTGATTTAATAAAGGTAATGTACTGAGATTTTGGGAGAAAGAGGTTAAGCAGACATGGCAGTACTGTTTTGAACTGGAAGTCTTTGCCCAAGCAAGACTTCTGTCATAGTTGGATTATTTTAAAAGGAGTATTGCTAGAAATGTTACTATAATTTTATCTCTTTCCCAGACTCACAGAACATGAGACTTGATTGAGCAGTGGCTCTTTCTCCTCCTAAGAACTCAAAGCAGAGTCACACTTTCTGCTGTGCTCTGCTCTCTTGCTCTTCACACGCAAAGATTCGGCAGGGTTTGACTCAGCCCTGCTGTATGAAGGAACCATTCTGGAGCATCAACCTTCCAGCAAGGAGCTAACCGAGATAACCTTTGATGTCTGCCTCTCTAAGATCTAATGTCATCTGCTACAAGGACATCGAAGTAGAACAATCTCTTTAACCACAGAAAACTATGGCCAACACTGTTTACTATACTGGCCCCTCAGAATAATTTCATATTGCTGTTTTCAGCTCCCTGCTGGGTGGCTGTAGAGAAGACAGGGAGGTGCACAGCCAAAGGGTGAGGGATACAAGTTGTAAGAAGGGAAATTCTGATTAGATACTGATGCTATTTGCAGTGCAAGGTAGTCAAATACTGGAACAGAATTCCCAGAGAAGCTGTGGAATCTCCCTCCATGCAGATTCTTCAAACCTCAACTGTTCAGT